GATTCAGTGATTCCCTGACTCAGATTCAGTGATTCCCTGACTCAGATTCAGTGATTCCCTGACTCAGATTCAGTGATTCCCTGACTCAGATTAAGTGATTCCCTGACTCAGATTCAGTGATTCCCTGATTCAGATTCAATGATTCCCTGACTCAGATTCAGTGATTCCCTGACTCAGATTGTGATTCCCTGACTCAGATTCAGTGATTCCCTGACTCAGATTCAGTGATTCCCTGACTCAGATTCAGTGATTCCCTGACTCAGATTCAGTGATTCCCTGATTCAGATTCAATGATTCCCTGACTCAGATTCAGTGATTCCCTGACTCAGATTCAATGATTCCCTGACTCAGATTTAGTGATTCCCTGACTCAGATTCAGTGATTCCCTGACTCAGATTCAGTGATTCCCTGACTCAGATTCAGTGATTCCCTGACTCAGATTCAGTGATTCCCTGACTCAGATCAGTGATTCCCTGACTCAGATTCAGTGATTCCCTGACTCAGATTCAGTGATTCCCTGACTCAGATTCAATGATTCCCTGACTCAGATTCAGTGATTCCCTGACTCAGATTCAGTGATTCCCTGACTCAGATTCAGTGATTCCCTGACTCAGATTTAGTGATTCCCTGACTCAGATTCAGTGATTCCCTGACTCAGATTCAGTGATTCCCTTACTCAGATTCAGTGATTCCCTGATTCAGATTTAGTGATTCCCTGACTCAGATTCAGTGATTCCCTGACTCAGATTAAGTGATTCTCTGACTCAGATTCAGTGATTCCCTGATTCAGATTCAATGATTCCCTGACTCAGATTCAGTGATTCCCTGACTCAGATTCAGTGATTCCCTGACTCAGATTCAGTGATTCCCTGACTCAGATTCAGTGATTCCCTGACTCAGATTCAGTGATTCCCTGACTCAGATTCCACCGCCCTAGATCACTCCTAGTGTTACATTCGAGTGTCGAGACAAGACTTTCCACTATTATTATCTTGTATTTCATTTGTTGACATTTTAGTATGTTAAGTGTAGTTAATTATTATTTATTAGAGAATAAGCTAACCATAATAAATAAACCTAATATAAATGTAATAATTCAAGAAATTTCCCGCAATTTGTAGGTGATCAATCCACATAAATTTTTCAAGGATGGAATTAACATTTGTGGTTATAATTATAACCCTAATTTTTAAAGGGGTGGAGGGGTAAGCCAGCGGAAGGCCTCGATCAGATGACCAAAAGCCTCAGCTGTGGGTTATCATATGACTAAGATCCGCGTCAGGAAACACATATCATGTTTCCTGACAAAACTGACCTCAGTCAGGCTGAGGGACTGATTACCTCAAACTCCTAGTGGACTGATGAAGTCACTGTCTGGCGAAACGTTTCCTCAATAAAGATTCCCATATGTTGCATAAGTGTCTTGTGCTTCAACTTGTCGGGTTTCTAAACCATTTATTACACCAGGATGGTTGTGTGAGCACCTCACCAGGATGGTTGTGTGAGCACCTCACCTGGATGGTTGTGTGAGCACCTCACCAGGACGGTTGTGTGAGCACCTCACCAGGATGGTTGTGTGAGCACCTCACCAGGACGGTTGTGTGAGCACCTCACCAGGATGGTTGTGTGAGCACCTCACCAGGATGGTTGTGTGAGCACCTCAACAGGATGGTTGTGTGAGCACCTCACCAGGATGGTTGTGTGAGCACCTCACCAGGATGGTTGTGTGAGCACCTCACCAGGACGGTTGTGTGAGCACCTCACCAGGATGGTTGTGTGAGCACCTCACCAGGATGGTTGTGTGAGCACCTCACCAGGATGGTTGTGTGAGCACCTCACCAGGATGGTTGTGTGAGCACCTCACCAGGATGGTTGTGTGAGCACCTCACCAGGATGGTTGTGTGAGCACCTCACCAGGATGGTTGTGTGAGCACCTCACCAGGATGGTTGTGTGAGCACCTCACCAGGATGGTTGTGTGAGCACCTCACCAGGACGGTTGTGTGAGCACCTCACCAGGATGGTTGTGTGAGCACCTCACCAGGACGGCTGTGTGAGCACCTCACCAGGATGGTTGTGTGAGCACCTCACCAGGATGGTTGTGTGAGCACCTCACCAGGATGGTTGTGTGAGCACCTCACCAGGACGGCTGTGTGAGCACCTCACCAGGATGGTTGTGTGAGCACCTCACCAGGATGGTTGTGTGAGCACCTCGCCAGGATGGTTGTGTGAGCACCTCACCAGGATGGTTGTGTGAGCACCTCACCAGGATGGTTGTGTGAGCACCTCACCAGGACGGTTGTGTGAGCACCTCACCAGGACGGCTGTGTGAGCACCTCACCAGGATGCTTGTGTGAGCACCTCACCAAGATGGTTGTGTGAGCACCTCACCAGGATGGTTGTGTGAGCACCTCACCAGGATGGTTGTGTGAGCACCTCACCAGGACGGCTGTGTGAGCACCTCACCAGGATGGTTGTGTGAGCACCTCATCAGGATGGTTGTGTGAGCACCTCACCAGGATGGTTATGTGAGCACCTCACCAGGATGGTTGTGTGAGCACCTCACCAGGATGGTTGTGTGAGCACCTCACCAGGATGGTTGTGTGAGCACCTCACCAGGACGGTTGTGTGAGCACCTCACCAGGACGGCTGTGTGAGCACCTCACCAGGATGGTTGTGTGAGCACCTCACCAGGATGGTTGTGTGTGAGCACCTCACCAGGATGGTTGTGTGAGCACCTCACCAGGACGGCTGTGTGAGCACCTCACCAGGATGGTTGTGTGAGCACCTCACCAGGATGGTTGTGTGAGCACCTCACCAGGATGGTTGTGTGAGCACCTCACCAGGATGGTTGTGTGAGCACCTCACCAGGATGGTTGTGTGAGCACCTCACCAGGACGGTTGTGTGAGCACCTCACCAGGACGGCTGTGTGAGCACCTCACCAGGATGCTTGTGTGAGCACCTCACCAAGATGGTTGTGTGAGCACCTCACCAGGATGGTTGTGTGAGCACCTCACCAGGATGGTTGTGTGAGCACCTCACCAGGACGGCTGTGTGAGCACCTCACCAGGATGGTTGTGTGAGCACCTCATCAGGATGGTTGTGTGAGCACCTCACCAGGATGGTTATTTGAGCACCTCACCAGGATGGTTGTGTGAGCACCTCACCAAGATGGTTGTGTGAGCACCTCACCAGGATGGTTGTGTGAGCACCTCACCAGGACGGTTGTGTGAGCACCTCACCAGGACGGTTGTGTGAGCACCTCACCAGGACGGTTGTGTGAGCACCTCACCAGGACGGTTGTGTGAGCACCTCACCGGGACGGTTGTGTGAGCACCTCACCAGGATGGTTGTGTGAGCACCTCACCAGGATGGTTGTGTGAGCACCTCACCAGGATGGTTGTGTGAGCACCTCACCAGGATGGTTGTGTGAGCACCTCACCGGGACAACATTCCACCTCTGTTGTGCCTTGTACTTCGCGAGAAGCTAAACTCTAAATGGATCAATAACAGCACAAGGAATGGTGAAGGCTCAATCCTCCGCTCACTTTCATGAAGCGACCTAATGACCACTGGGACACCCAGGTAAGCTAGCCTGGCTACCTGAGTGTACTGAGTGGCAGCCCAGCTAGAAGCAAATCTTACCGAGAAAACCTTGCTTTTTGCTATGGTTAAAAGCTTTCATTAAAGCTGCGTTGATACTAAAATATATTATTATTATTATTATTATTATTATTATTATTATTATTATTATTATTATTATTACAAATAAAAATTCACTATACCGTGATAGAATAATTCACTATAAACTCACACTTGAGAGAGGAACCTCATGACGACGTTTCGGCCCGTCTTGAACCATTGTCAAGTCACAAATGAGGCGAAAAGAGTAAAAAAGGCCAGAAGACACTACGGGAAGGTGCGCAGGAAGATAGTAGTAGCAGAAGTAATAGTCCTAGTAGTAGTGGGAACAATGGTGATGGTCGTAAAATTAGCAGTAGTAACAGTGGCGGTAATAGTAGTAGTAATGAGGTAGCTAGTAGTGTTAGTAGTAGTCATAGTAGTAGTGGTAATAATATTAATGTAGTGGTAGTAGTAATGGTAATAGTAGCAGCAGAAAAGAGGAAAAAAAAAACAGGACAGCACTGCAGGAGAACTACTGGTCCAGGTCGGGCAGGACTAGTGACAGAGTATAAGAGTGAATTATATATCACACTCTTAACATTCTGACACTCGTCCCCGGGTGACAGGGAGGGTGACAGTGAGCATACTGACCCATGCTAGGAAATAAATGGAAAGTCACAAGACGAAAAAGGCAAAGAAAATACAGAAAACAGGTCAAGAGGAAAAGAGAGGAGGAAGATGAGGCAAATGTCAGGTCAAGACACGAGTTTTTTGAAGATCAGAACACTTGATGATGTAGTGAGAAAGACAGGCATCAACATAAATGTGTAGTATACAGGCACCCAAAGCCGAGAAAGTTGTGCATAAGAGGCGATTCAAAAAAATGACTTATTTGAAGGCTAGAGAGGTAGATATTTTAGAAGAGGACCAGTTATTAAGATGGCTGTGATCTCTGACAACAGAAAGGAGCATTACTGGTGCTGGCAGGCGAGCACTTGTTTTATGCTCTTAAAGTTTGTAAGGAAGGTAGCGGAGGAGACTCGTATAAGCTGGACTCTGGCAAGGTCTTTATTACGTTAGCAAGTTTCTGAGTGGAAACATTAAACAGGTTTCTGCTTCCTATTATGTACGAAGTTAGGGTTTATACCTCTGTACAGATTATAGTCTCAGCTGTTTCCACATTCGCTACTGTGACTGTGGTCTTCTATTCATACATCTAAGAAATAATATCTTTATGAAGCGACTGTCTAAATCATTCTTGTAAACGTAGCTGAGAGTGAGAAAGATGAGGAACTGGCAGGAATAGAAGCACAATAAAGCACAAAATAAAGGTTAGGAGAAACAGCAGATTTTATTATTTTTTAAACAGATATAGAGCCCTTGAAGGGGCTAACAAAAATTGCCTTAGCCGTTGATATTTCACGTCCATTAGGTGTGGTACTGGACAAAGTTTTCAAACAGCAATAATCGCACCTTGGATGAACCTCAGTGGTTACGATACTACCACTGCACAAAGCTATTTTTTTAACATTCACTTGAGAAGTGATCGCGAGACGCCTGACCACAGGTGAGGTTATAGCCATTCTACTAAGTTAAACGGTTTTGTTTGCTTTTTGTCAGGGGATTCGATCCCTGAAGTTCAGTGGTAAGAGTGGCTCCTCTCACCACTGGCAGATTATATGGGAAATGCAAATGAGAAGCGTAGACAATGAGCTCAGTGAGACAGGTAAGTTAGTACGTGAGGGGATCTTTACTTCATCACTATCTTGTCGCATTACGTGAAACATCTGTCTTGTAGAAAGTTGAAAACAGAAGAGCAGAGACGCTGGTGACCAGGAGTTGTTCAGGTTATATGTATATGTGACAGGTTGGTGTAGAGACGAGGACAAACTCTCCCTGGTACTGTATCATAATTGTACCAGGTTAAAAGTGTGTAAAGTTAATACTACAGACTCTTGAAAAGTTAACACACGTTGTTAACAAAGTTGGCAACATCTTACAAAATTATTCAGGATTGACTCCAATCAGATAACTGCAGTTTTCAAGGCAGTAATACCCATAATTACGACTCGTAGACAATGTTAAGGTTACGAGATATATGATTGTATTATTGATATTTTGATGGGTATTATCATTCTAATGGTAAATCGCACATCCCACAGGTGTCATACAACAGCTGGCGTCTGTCCAACGAAAACAAAGGCAGCTCCAGACTTTTGGATAAATATACAGGTACCCTGAAGTAACCTGTGTACTGAACTACTCTAGAGGATAATGTAGTTATTATCGTCAACAGCACGTCAGTTATGTACTTGGACTATAATGTATTTATTTTATCGCTGAATATTCGCTCACAAGATGATTAACGCTGCTATGTAAACTCGCTTGTTGGGGCAAAATATACGAAACTAATTTTTTGCATGGTGGTCAGGTAAGCCAGTAGAATGACCGATACCATCAGTTACTTTTTAAAATAATAATACATGTGTACTTAAAAATATCAACATGAACAAATAAGTAATAAAAAGGTACAATACTATGACGGGAACAATACACAAACAACTGGCACATAGGAGAGGGGAACCCACGACGATGTTTCGGGTCGTGGCTTCCCCTCTCCTATGTGCGGTTGTTTGTGTATCAACATGAACACTCTACCCTACGATTGAAAGAGTTACTCTTACACTCACACACACATACACACACACACACACACACACACACACACACACACACACTCACACACACACACACACACACACACACACACACTCACACACACACACACACACACACGACATACAAAATACTGAGAGAAATTGACAAGGTGGACAAAGACAGGATGTTCCAGAGATTGGACACAGTAACAAGGGGACACAGTTGGAAGTTGAAGACACAGATGAATCACAGGGATGTTAGGAAGTATTTCTTCAATCACAGAGTAGTCAGGAAGTGGAATAGTTTAGGAAGCGATGTAGTGGAGGCAGGATCCATACATAGCTTTAAGCAGAGGTATGATAAAGCTCACGGTTCAGGGAGAGTGACCTATAGCGATCAGTGAAGAGGCGGGGCCAGGAGCTCGGACTCGACTCCTGCAACCTCAACTAGGTGAGTTCACACACACACTCACACACACTCACACCACACACACACACACACACACACACACACACACACACACACACACACACACACACACACACACCATCAACAAGTGCCTTTGACAAACAGTAACTAACAACAGGAAGAGTAATGAGTAATAACATTATCATCTCATAGAAATTAAGTTATATAATATTTAACCTTCCAGCGTTATTTAATACCATTGCGCAATAACAATTCCCTCATGTACTAAACATGGTTCAAAATTTAAAAATGAAACATATAAGTATCGATACCCCTTAAACTGGGTATCGTCCCATTCCTAACAATACATTTCACTATTAATATTTATCACAATCAGAAACTACTAGTGTCACTACCTGTGTAATGTGGGAGACCAAAATGTTACTACTTGTGTAGTGTAGAGACCAAAATGAACGTATGGCTGATATGAACTTAAGTTTGAGAGTTTCCACTCTCATTAACATGTTTAGTCAGTGGCTGTGGTCACACGCTAACACAAGACATCTCGTCTATTGAAGTATCAGTCTTGCTGACGTAATAAAAACAATGGCAGAGCCCAGCTTGTACGAGACGCTCACTGACTTGCACTTCGTCCTTGTGAAGTGTGTAACTGTAGTGTAGTCACGTCTTTGGCAAGACAGTTCGAGACTTTTACCAGTTTGATCGACATGAACTTTATCGCAAACTTTACAAGGAATCTTATAGGCACATCCGACAGCATTTTGGGGGGAATTCTTTATCAAAAGTTTCTTTATACTATATCAAGATTTTTAAATACGACTTTGATATTAAAAGTCTTAAGAAGAGAAGGCATATCAGCTTGGTTGATATGCCTTCATAGATGAAGAAATATCCAAAATTTATGAAATAGCTAATGATATAAAATACCCAAGAAACGTAATTGATAAATCTTTTAAAATTACTAGAAATACTTTTTACAATCCAAAAAGGGACAATCAACCTTATTCAACTAAAAATATGTTGGTTCTCCCTTACCATGAAAACTTAGTTGATATACCTTCTCTTCTTAAGACTTTTAATATCAAAGTTGTATTTAAAAATCTTGATACAGTATATATACCGATCCCCATTCGGGATCGGTTCCCCAAGTCTTTTTCCCTTCATTTCAGCCAGCTACAGCAAACCCTCAATTATTTTGTTTGGAAAACATGAAATTCTCTCATCAGAGGGTGTTCAGCAGGGTGACCCACTTGCTCCACTTCTCTTCTGCTTGGCAGTAAGAGAACTTCCAGTCTATGCAGCGAGCTCAACATCTGGTACCTGGATAATGGCACTCTGGCAGGTACTGAAGAATCCCTGTTAGAGGACCTATAACTGGTGAAAACACAGGGAGAAAACTTGGGACTCATCCTCAATCCCTCCAAGTGTGAAATCATTACAGTGAACCAGGAAATAATCAATGCCGCGTGAAGAATCGTCCCTCCTCTCTACTACCACTCCGTCCAACAGTACCCTCTTGGGAACACCGCTGGGTCACCAGGCCATCCACACTGTTCTCAAGGACAAATTGAATGACCATGAGAATGGAGGAGAGAATAAGCGATCTTGATGCCCATGATGTTCTGTATCTCCTCACAAGGTGTCTTACTATGCCAAGACTCACTTCCTGAGGTGCGCACCCTCTTTTGACAACCCAACACTCGACGAATATGATGCACACCTGAGACCAACCTTGAAGAAGGCACTGACCCTGTCATTAGAGGATAGGCAATGGGATCAGGCAACCTTTCCAGTGTGACTGGGAGGTATAAGGGTGCGCAACAGCAACGCATGTAGCTTTACCCGCTTTTCTCTCTATGTGTTTGGCTTCCACTGCGTTAGCCAAGAAGATTGTCCCCGAACGCTTGAGAGACATGGTAGGAGCTCAAGACCCCAGGTTTACTGAAGCAGCGATGCAGTGGGACACCCTAGCAGACTCCTCCAGTAGACCAGCTCCTCCCAAAGAGCACAAACAGTCCCACTGGGACAAACCGATCATGGAAAAAATCGCCAACACAATGCTCACCAACGCTTCAGGAAATGACAAAGCTCATCTCCTAGCGGTGAAGGCACCACACTCAGGAGATTTCCTTCTAGCTGTTCCCAATTCCTCCCTGGGGACTCGACTCAACCCACAGGCCATTCGGATTGGTATTGCTCTTCGCCTAACCGCCCCCATCCTCACCGAACATAGGTGTATTTGCGGCAGGGCGACGGCTGATCAATTTGGGCTTCATGGTCTCATGTGTCACACATCAGAAGGGAAGTATGCCAGACATGAGGAGGTCAATGACATCATAAAGAGAAGCCTCACCACAGCCCATTGCCCAGCTCAACAGGAACCCCAGGTGCAGAGGTCTGACGGAAGTCAAAAGTATCCTGATGAAGCTACTATGGTACCCTGGAAGGATGGAAAGCAGATTGCCTGGGACTATACCTGTGCTGCCACATTGGCAGACACCTACTTGTCATACTCTGTAGCTGAAGAGGGTGGAGCTGCCAGCCACAGGGAGACCCAGAAGACCCGCAAATATGAAGACCTTTCCCCTTGCTATAACTTCATCCCAATAGGGTCGGAGACCCTTGGAGCATGGGTGATAAACTCATCATAGAAACCAAGGACCACAGAGGGACCAGCTTCCTCTTTCAGAGACTCAGTGTCGCGATCCAGAGAGGAAATGCCTACAGCATTCTGGGCACGCGGCCCACTGCCGGGGAGCTGGACGAAGTATTCGAGATGTAGCTCTGAGTTGTTATCTATGTTGTTTTACCCCATATTATATTTTTGTCAATGTATTTTGTCAATGTATCTTGTTTTAAATAAAGCATATGTGGAATATATAGGGGGGTTACCTGGAGGTTACCTGGAGGTTATTCCGGGGATCAACGCCCCCGCGGCCCGGTCCATGACCAGGCCTCCCGATGGATCAGGGCCTGATCAACAAGGCTGTTACTGCTGGCCGCACGCAGTCCAACGTACGAGCCACAGCCCGGCTGATCCGGCACTGACTTTAGGTATATGTCCAGCTCTCTCTTGAAGGCAGCCAGGGGTTTATTGGCAATTCCCCTAATGCTTGATGGGAGGCTGTTGAACAGTTTTGGGCCCCGGACACTTATGGTGTTTTTGCAAAGTCTGGAGAAAATTTTCAAACAGCTTTAGGGAGAACCTTGAGATTTCCCTGAAGCAAGTTTATTCTTTTCTCTGAGGATGAGGGTCCCCAGGAATATATATATATATATATATATATATATATATATATATATATATATATATATATATATATATATATATATATATATATATATATATATATATATATATATATATATATATATATATATATATATATATATATATATGTTAACAAGTTGGACGTCTCCCACCGAGGCAGGGTGACCCAAAAAGAAAGAAAATCCCAAAAAAGAAAATAATTTCATCATCATTCAACACTTTCACCTCACTCACACATAATCACTGTTTTTGCAGAGGTGCCCAGAATACAACAGTTTAAAAGCATATACGTATAAAGATACACAACATATCCCTCCAAACTGCCAATATCCCGAACCCCTCCTTTAAAGTGCAGGCATTGTACTTCCCATTTCCAGCACTCAAGTCCGGCTATATAAAATTAACCAGTTTCCCTGAATCCCTTCACTAAATATTACCCTGCTCACACTCCAACAGCTCGTCAGGTCCCAAATACCATTCGTCTCCATTCACTCCTATCTAACACGCTCACGCATGCTTGCTGGAAGTCCAAGCCCCTTGCCCACAAAACCTTTACCCCCTCCCTCCAACCTTTTCGAGGACGACCCCTACCCCGCCTTCCTTCCCCTACAGATTTATATGCTTTCCATGTCATTCTACTTTGATCCATTCTCTCTAAATAACCAAATCATCTCAACAATCCCTCTTCAGCCCTCTAATACTTTTATTAGCTCCACACCTTTTCCTAATTTCCACACTCAGAAGTCTCTGCATAATATTTACACCACACACTGCCCTTAGACAGGACATCTCCAGTGCCTCCAACCGCCTCCTCGCTGCAGCATTTACAACCCAAACTTCACACCCATATAAGAGTGTTGGTACCACTATACCTTCATACACTCCCTTCTTTGCCTCCATAGATAATGATTTTTGTTTCCACATATACCTCAATGCACCATTTCGCCTTTTTTCCTTCATCAATTCTATGGTCAACCTCATCCTTCATACATCCATCCACTGACACGTCAACTCCCAAATATCTGAAAACATTCACTTCTTCCATACTACTAATCTCCAATTTGATATCCAATTTTTCTTTATCTAAATCATTTGATACCCTCATCACCTTACTCTTTTCTATGTTCACTTTCAACTTTCTACCTTTACACACTCTCCCAAACTTGTCCACTAACCTCTGCAACTTTTCTTTAGAATCTCCCATAAGCACAGTATCATCAGCAAAAAGCAACTGTGTTAATTCCCATTTTGGATTTGATTCCCTATAATTTAATCCCACCCCTCTCCCCAGTACCCTAGCATTTACTTCTTTTACAACCCCATCTATAAATATATTAAACAACCATGGTGACATTGCACATTCCTGTCTAAGACCCACCTTTACCGGGAAGTAGTCTCCCTCTCTTCTACACACCCTAACCTGAGCCTCACTTCCTCATAAAAACTCTTTACAGCATTTAGTAACTTACTACCTATCCCATATACTTGCAACATCTGCCACATTGATCCCCTATCCACTCTATCACATGCCTTTTCTAAATCCATAAATGCAATGAAAACTTCCCTACCTTTATCTAAATACTGTTTACAAATATGCTTCAATGTAAACACTTGATCTACACATCCCCTACCCACTCTGAAACCTCCTTGATCATCTGCAATCCTACATTCTGTCTTACCTCTAATTCTTTCAATAATAACCCTACCGTACACTTTTCCTGGTATACTCAGTAAACTTATTCCTCTATAATTTTTACAATCTCCTTTGTCCCCCTTCCCTTTATATCAAGGAATTATACATAATCTCTGCCAATCCATAGGTACCTTCCCCTCTTTCATACATTTATTAAACAAAAATACCAACCACTCCAACACTATGTCCCTCCCCCCTGTTTTTAACATTTCTGTCATGATCCCATCAGTTCCAGCTGCTTTACCCCCATTTCATTCTACGTAATGCCTCACGCACCTCTCCCACACTCACATCCTGCTCTTCTTCACTCCTAAAAGATGATATACCTCCCTAGCCAGTGGATGAAATTACTGCCTCCCTTTCTTCGTCGACATTTAAAAGTTCCTCAAAATATTCCTGCCATCTACCCAATACCTCCATCTCCCCATCTACTAACTTCTCTACTCTGTTTTTAACTGACAAATCCACTGGTTCTCTAGGTTTTCTTAACTTGTTTATCTCAGTCCAATTTTTTTTTTTAATTTCATTAAAATTTCTTGGCAGTGCCTCTCCCACTCTATCATCTGCTCTCCTTTTGCACTCTCTCACCACTCTCTTCACCTTTCTTTTACTCTCCATATACTCTGCTCTTCTTATAACACTTCTGCTTTGTAAAAACCTCTCACAAACTACCTTTTTCTCTTTTATCACACCCTTTACTTCATCATTCCACCAATCACTCGTCTTTCCTCCTGCCCCCACCCTCCTATAACCACAAACTTCTGCCCCACATTCTAATACTGCATTTTTAAAATTATTCCAACCTTCTTCAACCCCCCCACTACTCATACTTGCACCAGCCCACCTTTCTGCCAATAGTTGCATATATCTCACCCGAACTTCTTCCTCCCTTAGTTTATACACTTTGAAATAAACCAATGTCCAAAATACATTAAGAAAATTTTATCTATTTCATTAATATACATATTTTTTATGAATTAATAATAATGCTAATTATGTAATCAAATTAAGCACTAAACCAGAAAGGATAATACAGCACTGAATTAATTAACTTAACAACTTTATTTTGCTAAAATTAACGGAACACAATTTATCTTAATTCTGTCCAGTCTAACATAGGCCAGCCTAAATTTAGTTAATGTCATTTAACATCAGTACAATACACCAATTTTATGATGGATGAACCCATTTTTACGTAGTTACTGCAACAATAAATTTACACTTGGTTTGCTCGGCCAAGCTCCTGTCTCCTTGACGTTATTCCGAGTCGTCCAGTCCTGGCTGCCTGGCTGTCTTGCTGCTTCCCTGGGAGTGTAGCACATGTGGTGTATTAGTGTGACACGTATTTCCTTTAGGCTATACCTGTACTATTACTCAATCTAGCCAGCAAGGTTACTGCCTCGTGTATCATGTTGTGAAAACAGTTGTATCCCGGTCACTAAGTGCAATGTCCGGGGCGTCCTAGGAGTCTGTGGTCAAGCCAAGAAATCTAGGGACCACACAAATGTAAGCAACTCTAACATCGTACTTCTAAAACACCCGACATTAGAAGAGTCATTCTTGAAGATATTAAGAGGACTTGGTTCAGGGACGCCAGATGTTTTAACCAGGGACTGTGACCTGTTCCACTAATGGGTGTCCCTCTGAGGGAAACGTTGGATTGAACCAAATTCATTTTCTTTTTAATTCAATTGTAAGCCAAACCGTTCTGTTTCTTTGCAATACTTTAAACCGGCCTTTAATCTCTAGGCTTCGATTCATACAGGAAATTCTTCTGTTGAACAATCAGCTTATCGTCCTTGAGATTCTACCACCATTGACCAAGCTATGAGAATCATACACGATAAGATACTTCGGCGAGCATCCATCAGGGTATATAAACCGACTGGAGAAATGCGAGATAAAATGAGTAAGTTAGTAGATGAATACATCAGACAGAACCAGACAGACCAACCCATAACATTAACTTTGCACACGCTGAGGGTACAACTTACTGCCCCAACAACGGTCCACAAAAAGCATATCTGGAAATAATTTGTCTACCAGGGAAAGTAGTACAAGAGACAGCCTGCTCACTTCTGGAGAGTACAACCACCTCATGGAGCCTCAGCTAGTTTCATTACGTATCTGGAATTCACATTCAGAGACGAAGACTGAAGAAACGATCATCACTGATGATCACCAAGATGAAGGAAACCTCATGGCATCTGTGTGAGAAAACATCCTCTCCCATAATAGCGGAGTAAACCAGTGAGAGATGAAAATGTTTATAATTTTCAAATCTTTAACTACAAGAGATATGGTTAACCCCCTCACCAGACCCACCTGTGACCCTTCAGATGAGACTCGTTATCGGTAGATCAAGAAACAAAGCTCCGGGGCTCTCAGGAATAATAACAAAGCAGTAAAATACCTACCCATAATCTGCAAGTAATTATTGCTTAACATTTACAATGCCACAGTGGCTTTAGGTTACTTCCCAGATGTATTCAAGAAAGCAAAAACAGAAAAAAAAAATATTCATTGCTAAGCCCAACAAGGATGAGCAAAAACCCGAGAACCACAGGCCCATCTCTCTCTTAGGTATATCAGTGGTAGGCTTTTGAGAAAATAATCTCTAACAGATTAAACTACGACTTGGATTACCACCATCTTCTTGACGAGAAGCAGCTTTGTTTCAGAAATCAGCTGGTAACCCAACACGTTGTCAACATCATATATGGTGTGGCCAGCCTAAGTACGCAAGACAATATGGCACTTAATGCAACACAAGACGTAAACACGGTATTAGTGTCTAGCATGATGGCCTAATATTCAAACAAGTGGACATCTTTGAGTGATATATCGTACAATTCTTGAACATTAGAAGTATTTATCCCTTAATACGACTTCAAAACAGGTGAAGCATTCTTAACAAGAGGTGTACTCACAGAGGTATCTGTGTAGTGATGGTGATGGGATCACTGGCACTGGTGTCATCAGTCTCTGTGTCACTAACATCCATCCACTCGTCGGAGGTTTCACTCTTACCCTCCGTGGGTGAGAGTGACGGGGAGTGGGCACTCTCCCCGCCCACAGCCACCAATCCTCCTCCTGAAAACATACAAAACGATACAAAAAATTACCTAAATATTACAATGCAGGGACAACACAATCAAGAGAAAATCTACTTACACACACACAACAAAGAGGCGGGGCAGGAGCTATGACTTGACCCCTGCAGCCACAATTAGGTGAGTATACACACAAGCACATACACACACACCTGGAGCTTCTGCTACATATAAGTAGTACACTAGGTTACTGAAGAAAACAATAATGAAGCACTCACCATATAACCTAGTACGGAGGGTAGAGCCCGGAGTGCTGGGCGTGGTAGGGGTTGTTGGGGTGGCGGGCGTGGCGGGGGTGGCGGGAGTGGGCTCAACGGGCATGGACTCTAAGGTTCCTCCAATACGAGTCAGCTTATACGAGAACACCTCGTGAACGCCGCCCTCACAACCATCTGTTGAGTTATTAACAAGTTGTGATGAGTTAGTGATGATGAGTCACGTGATTTATCTTAGTTATGACAGTCACGTGACTTAGTGATGAAGACAGCCACGTGATTTATCTTAGTGATGAAGAGAGTTAAGTGATTTATCTTAGTGATGAAGAGAGTTAAGTGAGTTATCTTAGTGATGAAGACAGTCACGTGACTTATCTTAGTGATGAAGACATTCACGTGATTTATCTTAGTGATGAGTCACGTGATTAATGTTAGTGATGAAGAATCACATTATTTATCTGAGTAATGGAGTGACGTGGTTTATCTTAACGAATACGTGGTTTATGTTAATAATGGAGTCAAGTGGTTTATTATAGTGGTGAAAAGTCACGATATGTTAGTGATGAAGGTAGTTCCGTTATTTATATTAGTGATGAAGGTAGTTCCGTTATTTATATTAGTGATGAAGGTAGTTCCGTTATTTATATTAGTGATGAAGGTAGTTCCGTTATTTATATTAGTGATGAAGGTAGTTCCGTGATTTATATTAGTGATGAAGGTAGTTCCGTGATTTATATTAGTGATGAAGGCAGTTTCGTGATTTGTTAGCGATGAAGGTAGTTCCGTTATTTATATTAGTGATGAAGGTAGTTTCGTGATTTGTTAGTGATGAAGGTAGTTCCTAGATTTATGTTATTAATGAAGGTAGTTCCGTGATTTATGTTAGTGATGAAGGTAGTTTCGTGATTTATGCTAGTGATGAAGGTAGTTCCGTTATTTATGTTAGTGATGAAGGTAGTTTCGTGATTTGTTAGTGATGAAGGTAGTTCCGAGATTTATGTTATTAACGAAGGTAGTTCCGTGATTTATGTTAGTGATGAAGGTAGTTACGTGATTTATGTTAGTGAAGGTAGTTCCGTGATTTATGTTAGTGATGAAGGTAGTTACGTGATTTATATTAGTGATGAAGGTAGTTACGTGATTTATGTTAATGAAGGTAGTTCCGTGATTTATGTTAGTGATGTAGTTCCGTGATTTATGTTAGTGATGAAGGTAGTTGCGTGATTTATGTTAATGATGAAGGTAGTTACGTGATTTATGTTAATGATGAAGGTGGTTCCGTGATTTATGTTAGTGATGAAAGTAGTTCCGTGATTTATGTTAGTGATGAAGGTAGTTCCGTGATTTATGCTAGTGATGAAGGTAGTTACGCGATTTGTTATTGATGAAGGTAGTTCCGTGATTTATGCTCGTGATGAAGGTAGTTACGTGATTTATGTTAGTGAAGGTAGTTCCGTGATTTATGTTAGTGATGAAGGTAGTTCCGTGATTTATGTTAGTGATGAAGGTAGTTACCTGATTTATTTTAGTGAAGGTAGTTCCGTGATTTATGCAAGTGATGAAGGTAGTTACGTGATTTATGTTATTGATGAAGGTAGTTACGTGATTTATGTTATTGATGAAGGTAGTTCGGTGATTTATGTTACTGATGAAGGTAGTTCCGTGATTTATGTTACTGATGAAGGTAGTTCCGTGATTTATGTTATTGATGAAGGTAGTTCGGTGATTTATGTAAGTGATGAAGGTAGTTCCGTGATTTATGTTACTGATGAAGGTAGTTCCGTGATTTATACTATTGATGAAGGTAGTTCCGTGATTTGTGTTAGTGATGAATTTAGTTCCGTGATTTATGTTAGTGATGAAGGTAGTTTCGTGATTTATGTTAGTGAAGGTAGCTCCGTGATTTATGTTAGTGATGAAGGTAGATCCGTGATTTATGTTAGTGGTGAAGGTAGTTTCGTGATTTATGTTAGTGATGAAGGTAGATCCGTGATTTATGTTAGTGATGAAGGTAGTTCCGTGATTTATGTTAGTGATGAAAATAGTTACATGATTTATGTTAGTGGAGAAGGTAGTTCCGTGATTTATGTTAGTGATGAAGGTAGTTTCGTGATTTTCTTAGTGATGAAGGTAGTACCGTGATTTATGTTAGTGATGAAGGTAGTTTCGTGATTTTGTTAGTGATGAAGGTAGTTCCGTGATTTATGTTAGTGATGAAGGTAGATCCGTGATTTATGTTAGTGGTGAAGGTAGTTTCGTGATTTATGCTGATGAAGGTAGTTCCGTGATTTATATTAGTGATGAAGGTAGTTCCGTGATTTATGTTAGTGAAGGTAGTTCCGTGATTTATGTTAGTGAAGGTAGTTCCGTGATTTATGTTAGTGATGCAGGTAGTTACGTGATTTATGTTAGTGATGTAGTTCTGTGATTTATGTTAGTGAAGGTAGTTCCGTGATTTATGTTAGTGATGAAGGTAGTTACGTGATTTATGTTAGTGATGAAGGTAGTTACGTGATTTATGTTAGTGATGAAGGTAGTTACGTGATTTATGTTAGTGATGTAGTTCCGTGATTTATGTTACTGATGAAGGTAGTTACGTGATTTATGTTAGTGATGAAGGTAGTTACGTGATTTATGTTAGTGATGCAGGTAGTTACGTGATTTATGTTAGTGATGTAGTTCTGTGATTTATATTAGTGATGAAGGTAGTTCCGTGATTTATGTTAGTGAAGGTAGTTCCGTGATTTATGTTAGTGATGCAGGTAGTTACGTGATTTATGTTAGTGATGTAGTTCTGTGATTTATGTTAGTGATGAAGGTAGTTACGTGATTTATGTTAGTGATGAAGGTAGTTCCGTGATTTATGTTAGTGATGAAGGTACTTACGTGATTTATGTTAGTGATGTAGTTCCGTGATTTATGTTACTGATGAAGGTAGTTACGTGATTTATGTTACTGATGAAGGTAGTTACGTGATTTATGTTGATGAACGTAGTTACGTGATTTATGTTAGTGATGAAGGTAGTTACATGATTTATGTTAGTGATGAAAGTAGTTCCGTGATTTATGTTAGTGATGAAGGTAGTTACGTGATTTATGTTAGTGATGAAAGTAGTTCCGTGATTTATGTTAGTGATGAAAGTAGTTCCGTGATTTATGTTAATGATGAAGGCAGTTACATGATTTGTTAATGATGAAAATAGTTACGTGATTTATGTTATTGATGAAAATAGTTACGTGATTTATGTTATTGATGAAAGTAGTTACGTGATTTATGAAGAAAGAACAGTATGGTTTCGAACTGGTGAAGTTCTCTGTGTGAGGAACAGACTTGACCACCTCGCCACAAGACAACTTTCACACCTCTCCTGTCCGGTTACGTTCACGACAGTAAGAAAAATTTAGCTTGTCAAAATAAAGATTTTTCAAGCACTGACCTCTGGGTTCTGTAGAGAGAATATATATACTATATATATACTATATATATACAGTGGACCCCCGGTTAACGATATTTTTTCACTCCAGAAGTATGTTCAGGTGCCAGTACTGACCGAATTTGTTCCCATAAGAAATATTGTGAAGTAGATTAGTCCATTTCAGACCCCCAAACATACACGTACAAACGCACTTACATAAGTACACTTACATAATTGGTCGCATTCGGAGGTAATCGTTATGCGGGGGTCCACTGTATTATATTATATATATATATATATATATATATATATATATATATATATATATATATATATATATATATATATATGCAATAAGATCACAGTAAACAGGTGATTTCAGAATATGCAAAACAACCACTGTGAAAGAATAATGAAATTCCAAGCGCTTTCGTGAGTACTCACATTATCAAGGAACATTGTTCCTTGATAATGTGAGAAGTCACGAAAGCGCTTGGAATTTCATTATTCTTTCACAGTGGTTGTTTTGCGCATATATATATATATATATATATATATATATATATATATATATATATATATATATATATATATATATATATATATATATATCACAGGATTGTGGCTGGCCAGCACTCGATCCTGCATTCCCATGCCCAGCCCTGTGAGAACTGAACACAGTACGCATCACTATCTACCGAACCATAAATTCTCTTGAGCATGGGAACGCAGGATCGAGTCCTGGCCAGCTGCAGTTCTGTTAATGGTTCAAAATCACTTATTTCGTGATTTCATTAAGATATATATATATATATATATATATATATATATATATATATACCTGGAGTTTACCTGGAGAGAGTTCCGGGGGTAAACGCCCCCGTGGCCCGGTCTGTGACCAGGCCTCCTGGTGGATCAGAGCCTGATCAACCAGGCTGTTACTGCTGGCTGCACGCAATCCAACGTACGAGCCACAGCCCGGCTGGTCAGATACCGACTATAGGTGCTTGTCCAGTGCCTGCTTGAAGACAGCCAGGGGTCTATTGGTAATCCCCTTTATGTATGCTGGGAGGCAGTTGAACAGTCTCGGGCCCCTGACACTTATTGTATGGTCTCTTAACGTGCTAGTGACACCCCTGCTTTTCATTGGGGAGATGTTGCATCGTCTGCCAAGTCTTTTGCTTTCTTTGTGAGTGATTTTCGTGTGCAAGTTCGGTACTAGTCCCTCTAGGATTTTCCAGGTGTATATAATCATGTATCTCTCCCGCCTGCGTTCCAGGGAGTACAGGTTCAGGAACCTCAAGCACTCCCAGTAATTGAGGTGTTTTATCTCCGTTATGCGTGCCGTGAAGGTTCTCTGTACATTTTCTAGGTCAGCAATTTCACCTGCCTTGAAAGGTGCTGTTAGTGTGCAGCAATATTCCAGCCTATATAGAACAAACGACCTGAAAAGTGTCATCATGGGCTTGGCATCCCTAGTTTTGAAGGTTCTCATTATCCATCCTGTCATTTTTCTAGCAGATGCGATTGATACAATGTTATGGTCCTTGAAGGTGAGATCCTCCGACATGATCACTCCCAGGTCTTTGACGTTGGTGTTTCGCTCTATTTTGTGGAAGGAATTTGTTTTGTACTCTGATGAAGTTTTAATTTCCTCATGTTTACCATATGGGAGTGATATATATATATATATATATATATATATATATATATATATATATATATATTTTATATATATATATATATTATATATATATATATATATTTCTTTCAAGAAATCGGCCATGTCCCAGCGAAGCAAGGTGACCCAAAAAGAAAAACAAAAGTTTCTCATTTTAACTTTAGTAATGTATACACGAGAAGGGGTTATTAGTCCCTCGTTCCTGGTATTTTAGTCGACTCTTATGACACGCATGGCTTATGGAAGATGAATTCTGTTCCACTTCCCCATAGAGATAAGAGGAAATTTCCTCCATCCTCATCGCTATTGGGCCGTGCGGACGTGCTGCGCAGTAGCTCCTGATTGAGTTGGCTTTTTGCGCAGTGTTGACGTGTACTTGGCTCTGTGAAGACCTGTTTGCGCGCTCTCTAGAATTGAAGCAAGATGCCCTCCATCGAGCAACTTTACGAACAGCTTAAGGAAGAATTGAGGTTGGCGAATATGGAAATTCGGCGACTGACCGAGGAAAACAAAAAGATTCGGAATAGTCCTCCTGTTTTGAGTCCTCAGGTCAAGAAGGGAAACTGGTCAGTGGCTGGACAGCAGGGAAAGAAGTTGACGATCAAGAAGACGAATGGAAAGGTAGAAACGATGAAAAAGGGAAAGAGACTGCCGTAGAAACTGTTGTGGAAACATCCAATACATTCTCAGTGCTACCCGACGAATGTGAGTCGAATACTGGGAACGTCACGACGAAAGACATTAAGGAAGGTACGAATATTGTTGTTGTTGGGGATAGCCAAGTTAGGTATATGGATAGGGCGTTCTGCTTGAAGGACAGGAGTAGGAGACAGAGAGTTTGCTTTCTGGGGCTGGGATGGAGGATATTGTTAGCCGTCTGGATGACATCATGAGAGGTAATGGGAGCAATCCTATTATCTGTCTCAGTGCTGGAGGCAACGATGTTGGCAGACGTAGGAGTGAGGACCTGATTAGCAGGTATAGGTCAGCAATAGAAATAATTAGAAGTAAGGGTGGGAACCCTCTCATATGTGGTATTTTGCCAAGGAGGGGAGTTGGAAATGAATGGTTGTCCAGGGCAATTGGTGTCAATTGCTGGCTGGACAAATACTGTAAGGAAAATGCGGTAAACTTCATTGACAACTGGGACCTTTCTATGGCAGAAATGACATGTATGCTGGGGATGGGGTTCACTTATCTAGGTGTGGGGTGGGAAGCACTGGCAACTGCAGTGGAGGGAGCAGTTAGGACTTTAAACTAGGAATAGTTAGTGGTATGGGTTTTGGCAGGAAAACAGTGAAGTCCAAGTGTAGTAATATTACGAGTTCTAGGGGAACTAGTAATAATAAGAACGAGATAGATATTGAAAAGCCAGGGACCTTGGGTGATAAGGACAGTAATAGGTTTAGTAGAAAAATAGAAATGAGCAGGAAGGGTAAAGAGAAAGGAGAGTCTTCAATGTTTATTAGCTAATTGCCGTAGTGCTAGGAATAAGATGGACGAGTTGAGATTGTTGCTAGTGTAGGTAACATTGATGTATTTGCCTTAACTGAGACGTGGTTTAATTCAAAAAGTCGGGACATGCCTGCGGAATGTCATATTCAGGGGTTTTAATTGTTCCAAGAAGATAGAGTATTGGGAGGGGGGGTGGGGGTGGCATTGTATGTCCGAGATCGCTTGAACTGTTGCATAAAAACGGGTATTAAGTCTGAAGTAACACATACAGAGTCTGTTTGGATAGAATTTTCAGAGGGGCATGAAAAACTGATTTTAGGAGTGATATACCGTCCCCCAAACTTAGATAGGGACCAAGGGAAACTACTATGGGAGGAAATTGTTAAGGCCACAAGGCACGATAATGTAGTAATTCTAGGAGACTTTAACTTTAGTCATGTTGATTGGAATTTCTTCACTGGGAATTTAGAATCATACGACTTCTTAGAAGTATTTCAGGATTGTTTTTTGAAGCAGTTTGTGACAGAACCTACAAGGAGAAATAACCTGCTTGACTTAGTTATGGCAAACAATGAATCCCTTGTTAATAATTTAGAAATTTCAGAGGAACTGGGTGCTAGCGACCACAAATCAATTACATTTAGCATTGAATGGAAGTACGATAGTAGCGATAACTCAGTAACAGTCCCAGATTTTCGCTTAGCAGATTACGATGGGCTTAGAGAACACTTATCATCTGTTGACTGGGGTAGCGAAGAGAGCTATCAATATGACAGTTTTCTGAACACAATACATGCTGCTCGAAGAGCGTTTATCCCATATAAAGAAATTAGATCAAATAGAAATGACCCAAAATGGATGAATAATAGGCTCAAATATCTACTAGGGCATAAGAAAGGAATTTATAGGCGTATCAAAAGAGGTGAGGGTCATCTTATGAATCAGTATATTGACATTAAGAGGGACATTAAAAAGGGGATAAGAAAAGCTAAAAGGGACTATGAAATTAAAGTTGCTAGGGATTCTAAAACTAACCCAAAAAATTTTTCCAGGTCTATAGAACAAAAGTTAGAGATAAGATAGGTCCCCTTAAAAATAACTGGGCACCTTACTGACAAAGAGAATGAAATGTGCTTGATTTTAAATAATTATTTTCTCTCAGTTTTTACACAGGAAGACACTAACAATATTCCAGTAATTAATTTTTACAGTGGGCTAGAAGAAGATAAATTATGTAACATCACAGTCACTAGTGAGATGGTTGTGAAGCAGATAGACAGACTGAAGCAAAATAAGTCGCCGGGTCCTGATGAGGTTTTTTCAAGGGTTCTTAAGGAATGCAAAATGGAACTCTGTGAACCATTAAAATAATATTTTTAATTTATCTCTTCAAACAGGTGTAGTGTCTGATATGTGGAAGATGGCTAATGTAACTCCTATTTTTAAAACAGGGGACAAGTCGTTACAGTCAAATTACCGCCCAATAAGCCTGACCTCAATTGTAGGCAAATTACTAGAGTCAATTATAGCTCAAATTATAAGAAGCCATCTCGATAAGCATAGCTTGATTAATGATACTCAGCATGGATTCACAAGAGGCCGGTCTTGTCTAACTAATTTATTAACTTTCTTCAGTAAAGCTTTTGAGGCTGTTGACCACAATAAAGAATTTTATATTATTTACTTAGATTTTAGTAAGGCTTTTGATAGAGTTCCGCACCATAGACTGTTAAAGAAAGTGGCAGCTCATGGCATTGGGGGAAAAGTGCTCTCGTGGATCGAGTCATGGCTCACTGACAGGAAGCAGTGTCCATAAATGGGGTTAAATCCGAGTGGGGATCTGTAACAAGTGGCGTTCCACAGGGATCAGTCTTGGGCCCGTTGTTGTTTATAATATATATCAATGATCTTGATGAGGGAATTACTAGTGATATGAGCAAATTCGCCGATGACCCAAAGATAGGTAGGATAATTGATTCAAACGTAGATGTTATGGAGCTTCAGGAGGATTTAAACAAACTCTATTCTTGGTCAGAAAAGTGGCAGATGCAGTTCAATGTAGATAAATGCAAGGTTCTGAAGCCTTAGGAGTGCCCATAACCCTAGTACTTATAAGTTAAATGATGTAGAACTTAGCCATACAGACTGCGAAAAGGACTTGGGGGTTATGGTGAGCAGCAACCTTAAACCAAGACAGCAATGCCTAAGCGTACGTAATAAGGCAAAAGATACTGGGATTTATATCAAGAAGTGTAAGCAACAGAAGTCCAGAGGTCATACTGCAGCTTTATACATCATAGTAAGGCCTCACCTAGATTATGCAGCTCAGTTCTGGTCTCCGTATTACAAAATGGACATAAATTCGTTAGAAAACATTCAGCGTAGGATGACTAAATTAATACATAGCATTAGAAATCTTCCTTATGAAGAAAGATTGAAGACTCTTAAGTTACATTCACTGTTAGACGAAGAATGAGGGAGACCTGATCGAAGTGTATAAGTGGAAGATAGGTATTAATAAAGGGGATATTAATAAGGTCTTGAGGATGTCTCTCCAAGAGAGAACCCGCAGTAATGGATTTAAATTAGATAAGTTTAGATTTAGAAAGGACATAGGAAAGTATTGGTTTGGAAATAGGGTAGTTGATGAGTGGAACAGTCTACCTAGTTGGGTTATTGAGGCTGGGACTTTGGGTAGTTTCAAATCTAGGTTGGATAAGTACATGAGTGGGAGGGGATGGATTTGAGTGGGACTTTCACATCAGAGCTTATTTCTTGGGTGGCATTGAAAATTGGGTTGGGCAAATGTTTTGTTAGTGGGATGAATTGTTAAGTACCTGCCTAGTATGGGCCAGCAGGCCTCCTGCAGTGTTCCTCCTTTCTTATGTTCTTATGAAATAAACAAGAACAAGAACTAGTAATAAAATAGAAGAAAACTCAGAGGGATGAGTGTGTGTATATATATGCTTGTACATCCAAGTGTAGTGTGACCTCAGTGCAAGTAGAGGTAGCAAGACGTACCTGAAATCTTGCATGTTTAAATATATTTATAATATATATATATATATATATATATATATATATATATATATATATATATATATATATATATACATTCCTGCTATTTACAAACATCTCTCAGTCTGTAGCAGGTTTCGAACCTCCAAATTCGGCATCAGATTACACAGCACTTTATTCACACTGCTGTGGACTGAGAGATTACGTTTGTAAATAATTTCGCCTGTTTGCGTACTGTTAAGTATATACTGCTATTTATGCAGCATTATTAGCGATGATTTTTGAAAACAAGGTCAACAGTGAATAACTGAAGTGTAATGCTCAATAATAACCCACATGGAGACAGAAACCCAAAAGATTGATCTGTATATTTGGATCCCCTTCTGGGATCCTCTTCAGAAGGGGGTCGCAATATAGATTAATCAATCTATTAAGTTTCTGTCTCCATGTGGGTTATTATTGAGCAAGGTCAACAATCTCTAACGTCAAAAGTCTCTACCAAATATATCAAGCACTAACCTTGGCTGTACTCAGACGAGGCATCGTCAATAACATCTCTGTCGTTATCCTGGTCGTTTGACTCTTGGGTAGCGGGCGGCGGAGCCTCAGTCTCAGGCACCTCTTCGATGCTGCTGACTGCTGGGCGGCCCTGGGGAGAGACCCCCGGGGGATACACGGGTTCGTACGAGTGAGAGTTTTGTGAGGCGTTGTACATCGAGATTTCGTCGTACATGTAACTGATAGAGTCCAGCTGATCCTCCATTACTACTGCAAACTGGGCTGTTACGATACCCCCGTCGCAGTCATCATACTGACTGGAATCTGAGCGAGGCGGATTGACTGGGTCATAGCCTTCAGAAGGAGGTCTGATAATATCATATCCTACTGTAGAAGGCGCACGAATGTCGTCATAACCACAGGAAGAAGGAGCTGCTATGTCATCATAGCTAATAGCACTCACAGCACCAATGTCATCATAAGCTAGAGTCTGGGTATCCTCAGCACCCTGCTGCAGCTCAGCATAGTTATGTCCTTCAGGTGTTACCTCCTTGGCTTTGCCTGAAGGAGTTATCTTCCCATATCTGTCCATTCGCCCGTATGTTCTCACACCAATCACTCTTATAAATGGGGAACGCTCGGGTTCAGTTTCTTCCTCAATAGTTTCTTTAGTATCTGAAACTTGTGAAGAAGTTGGAGCCTGGCCTCCATCACTCCACAGGAACGAAGAGTTAGGTCTTATGCCCCGACCTTCTAGTTTTTCTCTGTTCCTATGAAGTTTTTCAAGATTTGGAGCATAAAGGTTTTCATAGATATTTTCGGTCTCATTACTACCGTCACTGTCACCATTGGACTTATCAGACACCGACAAAATGTTTGCTGTTTCCTTTGCTTCATCTGATGCAAACTCAGTGGGAAGGGCGGGTATAGGCGTTTTTGGAGGAGGGGGTATTGGTGTTGTGGCAGATGATGGTGGTGAAGGAATGGGTGTCTTCGGCGGAGGAGGTAAAGTCATAGATTTCATGGACTGGGTGGGAGTCTGTGGTCTGTCATAGATGCTGTCAGTGTCAAAGGTGAAGACCATGTTCTCTGTCTTCTTCATGTACGGGAGAGTGAGACAGGTGCGGGATGTGCCCAGCTGAGGAGAGTCTGGATGCTTGGGAGAGTCTGTGGCTTCTGCTGATGCTTGCTCTTCTGCCTCCTTTGCTGCCTCAGCTTCTTCTTGAGCAAGTTGTTCTGAAACTTTATCTTTGTACTTTTTCCTGTCTCTGCTACGTGACCTTGATCGTATACTCCACTTTCCATAAGTAGCTTCCTCCTTCTCCTTACAATCTTTCTTTTTGTTTTTACCATCTTTTTTCGATTCTTCACCAGAGGCTTTTTTCTCATCTTCTTTCTTTTTTTCTTCTTCTTTGGCTTTATCTTTGAGTCTTCTCCTTTCCTGACTCTTTTCTCGGAGTTTCTTGAAAGTGAACCTCTCGTAGCTTCTCCCTTCTCTTTCTCTTCCATCTTTCTTAGGAGTCTCTCTCTTGTCATCATTATCAATTTCTTCGCCTGCTGCTTTTTGTTCATCACCAGCTCCTTGATCCTTGTCGTCCTTCTTGTCTCTTGCTCTTTCTCTTGATCTTCCTCGTCTATACCACTTCTCTCGATCGGCTGATGGAGATCTATTTCGTCTCTCTCTCTCTCGTTCTTCTTTACGCTCTGCATCTTTCTCTTTGGTCTTCTTGACGGTATTTTTGACAGCGCTCTTAACGGCAGTGTAAATACGGCTCTCATTTGGTTTGCTGGTTCTCTTGGACTTGACGTCTGAGCATACTGAGCTGACCTCGGAGTGGGTGTCATCAAGGACACTGCTACTGACCGACCTTGAATCAGGTTCGATTATTGTCTCTTCAAGGTCATCCTCAATGGATGTCATCTTGTCTTCTGGTTCGCTGATCCCAGCTGATAAGGTATTCTCATCCGTCTTCGAAGGACAAGTTACATCATTATCAGTACACTCATCATCCGGAATCTGGGCTGTATATTTTACATCAGCAGTGCCTTTACTCTCAGATTCTAAGAGGTCAACGATGCCCTTTTCTTCAGATTCTACATTATCAGCTGTATTCATCTCATCTGTGTCTGAACAGAGTCTGCTCAGTGATTTCTCCTGTTGTAAGTCTTTGTCCTCCAGGTCTTCTATGCTTGTTTGTGGCTCAAGACTCATGGTCTCTTCATTTTTGAGAGCTACTGCACTATCGTCACTCTGACAAGTGTCTGTTGATATGACAGTGTCTAGTGAGGAGTCCTCAGCTACGAGAGAGCAAAAATTTGGCCCAGAGGAAGTGGCAAGAGAGGTACTCGGGTAGTTAGGTGAGCCAGCTCCTGATAGTCGATCTCCTTCAGTGGATATACCAGAGTCCATAGAGTCAGACTTAACATGTCCTTCAGATATATTTAACATCTGGTTATTGGTATGTTTTTCAGATAATGGCAATACCTGCTGGTCCTTGTCCACTAACCTCTTCACCGAGGTGTCTTTTGTACTATCCTTTTGTTGCACTACTAATGAATTGGTTGTCTTTGGTATCATAGAATTAGAAGCTACAGCAGTGCAGGAAACTGGAGCAGTATAAGTTAGAGTAGCAGATGATGTTCCTGGGTTCATGTACGACGGCTCCTCAAGAATGTCAGGTATCGTGGCACTGGAAGGAGTAGGTGACGGCATTCTACTTTTGTACTTCTTTTCGTCCGTGGACTCGTCGTCCTTATCAACAACGTCATCCTCAGAATCATCAGTTTCTCCCTTGAATTTCCCAGAGGACAGAGCTGTCTTGATTTTCTCACACACTTTTTCTTCGTCGGTTTTGTTGTCACCAAGTTTATCCAGTCCAGATGAACCATTTTTTGAAACAGCAGATGTCTTAGACGAAGGTGATCTAGAGCCCATACTATTTACTTTCCTGGCACCTGATACACTTAAGTCTCCTCTTCTTTCTTCCCTATTCTTTTCTTCCTTTTTACTCTTCTCATTCATTACAGGGGCACATTCTAATGAATTGTCTTTGTTATCGGGATCAATCCTTCCACTCCTGGATCTGCTCTTGAGTCTGGTACTTGCTCTTGGGCTTGATAAAACTCTTGTTTTGTGAACAGAAACATGACTGAAAGGCAATTCAGATTTTGTAATAGGACTGCCTGCTTGGTTCTGTGAGATAATGGTGTTGAACTTATTTGCCAGCGTAGCAACAGTACTTGGTTTAATGGTCACACTTAATCTGTATTCAGCTTTTCGCGCATTTTTTATATCCAGTCGTCCATTTTTGGAATCTTTCCTTCGTAGTTTAACAGCCTGGCTCTTCACAAAGCTCTCGCCCTCCAGCATCTTGGCTCTTGAGGCAAAAGTTAAACTGCTCCTCCGCCCCACTCTTGATCCCGTCTTGAAGCTCTCAGACCTCTTCACTGGATTGACCTTAAGTGACGGCTCACAGTCTTTCCTTGCCTTGTATGCTGCTGCCTCGATCTTCTTCACTATAGGAGCCTTTTCTGCTGGCGACTCGTGGATGTGCGATGTTGACACTACTAAACCACCAAAATCTTTCTCTTCAACAATATCTGGCTTGGAGTGTTTTCTTTTGTTTACTTTAGCATACTCTGGAATAAATTTTCCCTCTACTGTTCCAGTAGTATTTTTCAGTGTAGTTGTTGCTGCTGCTAATGATGATGAGGATGTTGAGAGTGAGGATGATGCAGATGATGTCAAGGCAACAGTGTCTCGTCTCTTCTTCAGTGACGCACGAACAGAGGACCTGATGCCAGTACGGGTGAACCTGAAGGAACCCAGTCTGCCTCTTCTGATGACTTCAGGTGTCTTCACCACCGTGATATTTAACTTAGCTTTAACGAATTTATTTGAACTTATTGTTATGGAGTCCAGGTTTTTACTCACCGGTTCCACTCTAGTTGTGGTGCCACCTTGAAGCTCACAAGGTACACTCTTTCTCTCAGCATTTATATCTTGCACTGAATCCTCCTTTAATCTATTCTGAAGTAAGATTTTTTTTACTCCAACTTTCGCAGCACATTTTGACTCTGCAGAAATACTTCTTGTTAATTTTTTGTCCTTCTCCTTCTCAACTTCCTTTAAGCTCTCACTAGCATGTAAAGTGAGCTTGGTGAAAGGTGAGGTGAAGCTTCTACCTCCGAAGCTCCAGCTGCTTGGAGTGAGACAAGTTGCACTGCAACTTTGTTCACTGTTAGTAAAATCCATTCCCTCGTATGTTAGATTATTTACATGGTTCTGGAACCTGGCTCGAACAGTATCGAGAGTGTGGGACTTAACCTGTAGAGGGAGTTGCTTGGAGTATCCCTCTGCTGTCTCAGTATGGTCATAGGAAGAGGTGGCTGCAGAGTGTTCTGGAGTAAGGTGAAGGAGGGTGCAAGAAGATGTAGATGTCGTAGACGTCGGTGGAGGCTGTTGAAGTTCAAGGGAAACAGACGTGGGCGCCAGGGAATGTTGTAAAGTTTGAGAGCGGAGGGCAGGGAGTGGCACCCTGGAAGGCTGCAAGGTGTTGGAGCGAAAGGCTGACACATTGGCCACAGAAGACATTGACCAATCAGTGGGAGGGTGACGGAAACGGCTCGGTAGTGTCTCTACGTTACTGCTCGAGCCATAACGGTTGTGAAGGAATGATTTTTGATATGTCTGTGTTTTCCTTAGTGGCGATTCGTATTTGGACACACGTGCAGAGTGCATAAGCGAGTAAGTCTGGAAGTCTACAGAGCCGAGACCATCACCTCTGTCCCACTCCGTGACACTGGCCCCTTTCTCGCACTCCTCACTCATGTCAGCACCCTCTTTTTCTATAACTTCACTAATCGCATCACTAACAATACTGCCACTTTCAATGGGCTCTTTGGAAAGCAACACGACATCATCTGTTTCTTTGGTAACCACTTCGTGAGTGTCTAACACGGGAGATAATTGAGCTTGACATTCAATGTCTGTGGAAACTGTCTGTGAAACATCACAATGCTTACTCTCTTCAACCTTATCTTTCTTGGCCTTTTCTTTTTCCTTTTCACTTTTCTTCCCACTTTTATGTCCGCGGAAGTAAGGAAGAATGCCCCTTTTGGCCTTCTGAGTCTTGGTGCTCTTTGTGTGTTTACTGTCAACCACCCCATCCACCAGACTCGCGGCCTCCACTTTGGGCTCTCCATGACTCTTTGAGATTCTGGGGTCACTGGAGATCCTGGAGAATACCTTGGAGACCCTGGGGCTGCTCTTCTCACGACTGGTGGCTGGCATGGCGACCCCGGCAGTGTGTGGCGAGGGTGAGGGGGTGGTGCGGGAGAGAGAGGGGGGGGCAGGGCAGGGACACGGCCGGCCCTCACCTCACTCCCCTCCACCCATCATACCAATCTGAAACACGAAAATTACGTATTAACATACATACATGATATGTCCAACATACTAAGTTGCCACAGAATTCAACTGGCATCATGTCATACAACATGGAGATGCCTTTATAGAAGATAATAAGGAAGATCACCAGGACACTGGTAAAGACAGCATAGCCTCCAGCCTCCTGAGGCTGGAGACTATGCTGGATGGAATAGATAGGAAGATGAAGACAGAGTTATTATAGAACTTTCTGAAAGCAAGACTGATGGGCCGAACATATCGATTCAAGGCTGAGGAACTGATTACCTCCAACTTTTTCTAATCTTTTATCTTTCTCTGCCTTAGACTGAAGAAACCACTGTGTGGCGAAACGTTTCCAGAATACAGATTCCCAAATGTTGCACAAGTGTCTGATTTATCAACTTGTCGGTTTCCTAAACCATTTATACATTAATTCTTGTTTCCTTCACATGTTGACTCGGAAAATTCTTCATTGCTGCTTCCATAAGTTTTGCTCTCCATGTCTATGTCCTCGTGGTTGAAGTCTCTTAGTACTAGGAGTTTCAAGTTTGCATCTTCTTGCTCTCTCTGTCACAGTCTCCAAGATGACAATGCTACCAAAAGTATTCACATTTCCACGAGGATGTTCAACTACAGTCAACTGATGTCAAGGATGTCCCAGCTGGGGTTAAGCGTGATTGGAGCAGGAATCTGGGATGAAGCGTGAGGGACATCACGCCTGCTAGGGCACATTTAATTGCTGCACAGGACTGATAACATTCTTAAGTCTACCAAGAGCCTCAGCTGTGACTGAGGAAGAATCTTTACATTTAAATAAGTGCTTCTATTTCAGGAAAAGAATTCTTATGCAGTCGCCTCTGGTTGCTGTACCTGTGGAAGATCAATGTTTTTGTCACCAGACTGTTGTGCATGACCCTTAGAGAAACTATGTTCTTAGCTTACTTCATGACACACCTCTAGGTGGCCACTTAGGTACCGCTAAAACGGTATTCAGAGTTTCCAGACATTTCTTCTGGCCTCGGTTATGGAAGACTGTTGGAGAATATATATAGACATGTCACATGTCTATATATTCCTGTCCTCTTTCAGCTTTTTTCAGCACCAGATGAACCTTTTAGCAAGCTCGTGGTGGATATGTCTGGCTGCTCCCAATGACCAGAATGGGAAACCTATTTACTCACAATTATTTACTCCACTGTCAGTTACCCAGAAACTGTCCATTTACATAAGATAATGGAACAAACTCTCAAGTAATGTCATTGAAGCTAAAACCTTGTGTAGTTTTAAAAATAGGTTAGATAAATACATGAGTGGGTGTGGGTGGGTGTGAGTTGGACCTGCCTCGTATGGGCCAGTAGGCCTATTGCAGTGCTCCTTCTTTATGTTCTTATATGATTTACTGTCCTTTTATTCTCATCATACTTTTCCCTTGGCTCGGGTAGTAGCGTGCTCAGCTCACACACTGAGGGACTTGTGATCGCTTCCCAGCACGGGTGAAACGGCGTTCATGTTTCCTTACAAGAGTGTTAAGTAACTGTCGTGGGTTGCACTCTGAGGGAGAAGATGAAAGCCCCCAGTGGAAATAAGACAGACAGTCGTCGATGACGAAATGACTTTAACTGGTTATCATAGCTTGCTAACCCTCCCAGTAAAAAATCCGAACAAAATCTTATCTTGCGTTCTTATTTGTTGATGTTTCAACCGTACGATGTTTATCTCCCTGATATAAACATCGTATGGTTCTTTGATCTATTAACTTTCTTTTCTGAAAGTCAACCCTCGAGGAAAAAGCCAGACAACACAATCCAATTTTTATTTCTCTATGCGGTACAAATAATATAGTTTATATGTAGCACTGACAGACACATCAGAAAGCCACTGACAGACACAACACAAAGCCACTGACAGACACAACACAAAGCCACTGACAGACACAACACAAAGCCACTGACAGACACAACACAAAGCCACTGACAGACACATCAGAAAGCCACTGACAGACACAACACAAAGCCACTGACAGACACAACACAAAGCCACTGACAGACACAACACAAAGCCACTGACAGACACAACACAAAGCCACTGACAGACACATCAGAAGCCACTGACAGACACAACACAAAGCCACTGACAGACACAACACAAAGCCACTGACAGACACAACACAAAGCCACTGACAGACACAACACAAAGCCACTGTCAGACACAACAGAAAGCCACTGACAGACACAACACAAAGCCACTGACAGACACAACAGAAAGCCACTGACAGACACAACAGAAAGCCACTGACAGACACAACACAAAGCCACTGACAGACACAACACAAAGCCACTGACAGACACAACACAAAGCCACTGACAGACACAACACAAAGCCACTGACAAACACAACACAAAGCCACTGTCAGACACAACACAAAGCCACTGTCAGACACAACACAAAGCCACTGACAGACACAACACAAAGCCACTGACAGACACAACACAAAGCCACTGTCAGACACAACACAAAGCCACTGACAGACACAACACAAAGCCACTGACAGACACAACACAAAGCCACTGACAGACACAACACAAAGCCACTGTCAGACACAACACAAAGCCACTGACAGACACAACACAAAGCCACTGTCAGACACAACACAAAGCCACTGACAGACACATCAGAAAGCCACTGACAGACACAACACAAAGCCACTGACAGACACAACACAAAGCCACTGACAGACACAACACAAAGCCACTGTCAGACACAACACAAAGCCACTGACAACACAACACAAAGCCACTGACAGACACAACACAAAGCCACTGTCAGACACAACACAAAGCCACTGTCAGACACAACACAAAGCCACTGACAGACACATCAGAAAGCCACTGACAGACACAACACAAAGCCACTGACAGACACAACACAAAGCCACTGTCAGACACAACACAAAGCCACTGACAGACACAACACAAAGCCACTGACAGACACAACACAAAGCCACTGACAAACACAACACAAAGCCACTGACAGACACAACACAAAGCCACTGACAGACACAACACAAAGCCACTGACAGACACAACACAAAGCCACTGACAAACACAACACAAAGCCACTGACAAACACAACACAAAGCCACTGACAGACACAACACAAAGCCACTGACAGACACAACACAAAGCCACTACTATGCAATGCATTTCTGGCAAAGTAATCCTAATGCTTTAATGTTATTTTAGATTTAGACATAGAGTCATAGACTATTAAGTAGGATTTCTTATGCAGTTAACTACAATCATTTGTAGAATAAGAGAAGAAATTAAAGAACAAATGGTGCAATTTCAAAATTATGATTTATTATTTCAAACTCATTCAATAATCTTCAGTTTTGTAGAATTACTGAATAAAGATGGTGAAAATACAGCAAGTTACTTAGTTAGAGTAGATACAGTGGAAATACCCGGACTTAAATGGGAAACATGTCACATTGTTTAACTTTTCTGGGGTATACCAATTAAAATCATATATAATTTGCTATATAAAACCATTGTAAAAAATCAAATTATGTATGAGGCCAAAATAAAACTTCCTTATTTCCTTAAATTATTATGTGTCACGTGGCTTGGTTGGCAACACACTCGCCTCACACACACTCAGTGTTCGTGGTTCGGTCCCCGGAAAGCGTGAAAATGTTGAGCGTGTTTACACCTGCTGTCACTGTTCACCTAGCAGTAAGTAGGTACCTGGATGTTAGTCGATTGTTGTGAGTCACATCCCGGAGGATAAAATTGAAGGATCTCAATGGAAATAAGACAGACAGTCCACGATGACGTACTGACTTGGGTTATCCTGGGTGGCTAACCCTCCTGGTTAAAAATCCAAACAAATATTATCTTATTTTAGTCTAGGTGGCCCGGTGGCCTGGTGGCTAAAGCTCCCGCTTCACACACGGAGGGTCCGGGTTCGATTCCCGGCGGGTGAAAACATTTCGACACGTTTCCTTACACTATTGTCCTGTTCACCTAGCAGCAAATAGGTACCTGGGTGTTAGTCGACTGGTGTGTGTCGCATCCTGGGGGACAAGATTAAGGACCCCAATGGAAATAAGTTAGATAATCCTCGATGACGCACTGACTTTCTTGGGTTATCCTGGGTGGCTAACCCTCCGGGGTTAAAAATCCGAACGAAATCTTATCTTATCCTGCTACATGTAAGACGGACAACCACAATCTTTCAAGTATCCCCAAAACTGTTTTCATTTTCTGTGTAAACACAACACAGAAAACGGAGAAGTTAAACATTGGATGACTTAGTAAAAGTAAGTAAGTTTATTTAGGTACAGGTAAGTAAGTTTATTCAGGTATACACAAACAGAATTACATAGATTATCATACATAGCAGCATATGTGTAGAGAACCTAGGATAACCCAAAAAAGTCAGACAGAGTGACTTATTTCCATTGTGGTCCTTTTTATCTTATTATTATAATATAAATGTTATAATGTTTTCTTATTATTCTACAATGAAGATAACATCTTATTATCATACTAAAAAGACTATCTACTACACGAGGGTCATTAAGACTATCTACTACACGAGGGTCATTAAGACTATCTACAATACGAGGGTCATTACTAGGAATAAGGTAAAATTTACACGTATGTTAGCTAAAAAATAGAAAATCATTCCCCTCCCTTTCTGTAGCTACATTCATCAGACACCTTTTGGCACTCTTCTTGAACTGGTTCATGCTATGACTGGCTTTGACATGTGCAGGCAGTCTGTTCCATTCCTTTATTGCTGTACAATAAAGGTGTTTGAAGCCTGGCCACTGACTGTGGGTACTACAACCTTGACAAAATTAACAGCAAGATATTCTGGACACTCTTTGTGAGCAATTTTATAAATATGATTTAGCTTCAGTTGTTTTACTCTGTCTTCAACATTCAGAATATCCAACTGCTGTAATTCATC